CCCCCCTGTTTTGAGAGAAATCTTCTGCATCCGTGGATGTTTTATTGCCCTTGTCTAGCTTGGATTAACACATAGTCTACAGGCACACACCTGATCATCTACATTTGCTCTCTTACAACACTAAACTATGTTTTCTACCTTTATCTTGCATCTACCTACCACTTCAGCATTTTATTAAAAATAATAATAATAAAGAGAGAAATGTGGTATCCACATATAAATCAAGTATAAAAATCAAATGAATATTCATATTTGAACTGATTGTTTATAGTTCATAATGCATGATCAAAACCGAAAGTTTCTGTGAAGACTGCCCTTGTACTGTTCACCATGTAACTTACTCACTATGTAAGAATTTGTTCTCCATAAAAATAAAAAAATAAATAAATTCTCCAACTTTAGAAACCTCACCTTCCTTTTACTTTAAGCTGTCATATAATGACTTTGCTTTTCCTGAATCGTTTTATAGTCTGTAGGTATGCCTTAAAGTAATCCTGCATGCACATAAAAGCTGCATATTCAATATGACACAAAAAGGTATTTTGCAAAAAGTGCAAGGTTTTTGCACCTCTTAGCATAGCTGCAGCAATGATTTCATGGATTTCCTTTTCTTTTTTCATAGTGGTCCTTATGCTCAATTCATTTACTGTGAAATAGTGGGCAGCTGCAGCTGCAGACCTCAGCACATGGTACATCACAAGCAATTCAGCTTTTTCTTGTAATGCCACGACTTTCCTTTGCTCGGGAGCACATCCACCAACATGGTGGCCCTTCATGTGGGGTGTGTAAGGTCTGCGGTACTGCACTAAGCACTATGAAAAATACCTAAGAACCGTGAAAGATCACTTTCTACTTCCATGTGCAGTTTACTGGAGAGAGGAACTGCGTATGTGGAGGTGATTAGCATCACGTGGCATTCCAGGCAGATATTTGCAGCATTTGAGCTCACTGCAATGGCAACAGGAGGTGGCTATGAAATTATTCAGTAGTTCAGTAAATACTGCAGTTAATTTTATGCAGTTATGATTTAATACTGCATCTTTCTGTTTGCATTTCTCATGCCTGCAAATGGTGCCATGTATGGTCTGTAAGTTTTGATAAATTTGAACTTTTTATAGATTTATATATATTTTATGGTAGTAAATGATAAAGTAAACTAGTATGCATATGTATTTTACACATTCATGACATACCTATCTCTTTCTTAATTTTTAAAAAATTTCTAGGCTGTGTGGTTCATCTGCAATTTTTTCAAATTGTTGCGTATCTCCAAGAAATTTTCCAGTATATTTATTGAAAAAAGTCTGCATAAAAGAGGCAGTGCAGTTCAAACCTGTGTTGTTCAAGGGTCAGCTATATTTTTGAGATCCTCAATTCCTGTGCTTAAAACACTCTTCTTTCTCCTTTTTTACTTTTCAAAGCTTTTTAAAGCTCTGAACAAACAGCTCAGATGATCCAGATAGGACACCCTTTGTCTTTGACAGTCACGTCTAATGTTTCCTCAGGTTTAGAGGGGTTGGTGATGGGTTGTAGTCTGGAGCTTTCTGTATGTAGTATCTTTAAAATGTAGCGCTTGAACCTTCTCTTCACTGACTTGTGAGTGAATTACTTGTAATGTCTCACTGATCCCTACCACCTTATCTATTCACTTACCGGCATCTGGACCCACATACTCAAACTTTCTGTCTTTATTGTGGGTGAACTATATGTACTCCTATCCAAAGTCAGGCCCTCTGCTCATATGTTGGATCCCATGCCCTCTTGCTCACTGCAGGGCATTGTTCTAGTATCTAGCACAGTGATTCTCAAACTTTTTGATCTCAAGACCCCTTTAACTTTTGTTTATGTGGGTTATATCTACTAATATTTACTGTGTTATTTATTAATGAATCAAAAATAATAAAGTCATTAAGTTAACATAATTACCATATTCTTAAGGAAAAATAACTATTTTCCAAACAAAAAAAAATAGTGAAAAGTGTGGCATTGATTTACATTTTTGTGTCTGGCTTAATAGTAGACAACAGGATTCTGCAGTTACATCTATTTCAATATGTTTAATTGAAGTATAGGAAGAAAATTCAACCTTAAACATAGATAGTTAGAAAAGGAAAGTATTATACTTTTTGATATTACACAAAAACTCAGCAAGTTTTTTCAAGATTATTTATAATATGGTGTCTGAAAAAATATCAAAAAACTTTTCATACTGTTACATTAAAATCCACTTTTTTTTTCTGCTTTTGGTGGAACTTTTATCCATGCATGATTTTATAACTTCATGCACTGATCATTTGGAAAGTATTAGTTTGCTGAATTTTTCAGACCTTCCATGTGTTGACATACTTCATTACATGGCATCAAATTATCATGTATTTGTTAGCATTACCTCTGATCTCAACACAAAAATTCTTGACTAGCAGCAAGCTAGAGAGTTCATGTTTTTCAAAATTCTAATTCTTGAGAGCTTGAATTTTATGATTGGCAGCAAATGTGAGTTGTTTTCCTTGAAGTTAAGCTCACTTTGTACAGTAGCGTTTTTGTAGATTCCGTCAC